AAAAAATATAAGCATATTAAAGAAAACAATGCTAAGCAAAAGAAATTAATCTTTTACACAGATAGATCATTAATAAAAGCAAAAAAAGAAAACCAAAATCTAGATTATATGAGAGCTGTTTAGGTGCAAATGAATAATAAGAAAGAATATGTAATTGATGAAGGTGCTATCAGTGCTAAAGAATGATTTTCTTAAACAAAGGCAAAGCTGCTAGCTATTTGGTATGTAGTTTTTATAATACTAAATAAAAGCAAAATTAAAATATACACAGATAGTACAGTAGTTATAGCAAGTATATGTAATAATACATAATATATAATAACAAAAAAAAAATAAAAAAAATAAATTATAATCTAGTTATAAATATAAAAGATATAATATGAACAAAAGAATTAGAATTAGAATTAGTAAAGATAAAAGAACATAGTAACAATAGGTGGAATAATAGAGCAGATAGTGTATCAAAAAAAAGAGCAAATATATAAGATAAAAATGAAATTATAGAAGAGCCTGTCTCAAGATCTAACATAATATTTGTTAAGAAGACAAAGTAATAGAAAATCCAACACAAAACTTTGTTAAAGAAGTTCTTAATATCAGAAACAATGCAGATTAGAGTTACATATTAGTAATTAAAAATTAGAACTAGAAAGAAAGAAAAATAAGCACTGCTAGGTATTATTATGAAAAAAATTAAGAACTAAAGTAAAAACAAAATGCATCTTGACTACAAGAAGTAAAAGACTAAGTATACTTTTTAAATACATACAAGAAAGAATGTACATACTTAAAGAATTAGTAATAAGATAACCAGACTTGTAAGCAAATACAAATTGTATAGTTTGCAAAAAAAAGAAAGAAAGAAAACTATAACTATTTAGCAACATGCTCTTTTTATAAAAACTACTAGATAAAGACTAAAACATTGGTAATAACAATAGCATAAAGCATACTTCTAAAAGAGAAAAAAAAGAGTATTGCTTAAATACAACTAAAAAAAGTAATCTGTAATTAAACAGAAGAAAAAACAGAAGTAAGAAAAAAGCTTATTAAAGATCTTTTACAAGAAAAGATAATGAAGAGAATACAAAATATTTTGATCTTAACACAAAAAAACAAGAAATTTTCTAATAAGTATAGTAGATATTATATAGAATGAATTTTATATAAAAAAATTTAAAAAAAAAAGATGTAGTAAAGTATCCAAATAAATTAAAAGTCAATAAATCAATATAAGAAAAAAAAAACAAAAATAAAGCAGTAAAACAATAAGGCAAATTATCATACAAAGTTTTATCAAGATCAAAAAACAAAAACTTAGAAAAAATAAAAGATATAAAGAAGAAAAAGAAAACAGAAAATAAAAAAATAAAAGATATAAAAAATATAATTAGAAAATTAATTAGTAATAACAAGAGGCCTTACTAGAACAGCTTCAAAGGCTAGTCTGAATAACCTTCTAGTAGTGAATATAAACTCACTCTAGTGTGGCAAATTGCTTTTATGCATTTATGCAATAGTTAAAAGATGTCAAACCTAAAAATTAAGCTAATATTTGTATAATTATATATGCAATTCTCTTAATAAAAGATTTTGACAAGGCTGCCAAAAAGTTAAAAAATATATATATATATAATAAAAAATATGAACAAATATATGATATATACAGATAGGTTAGCTAATATAAAAGCTAATAAAAAAATAGTAACTAAAAATAATATAAGTATAAGATAGGTTTAAACAAATGAAATACAAAAATAGTCAGAAAAAAAGATAGTATTTAGATTAAAAAGATGGCAGATATCAATAATAATAAAGTTGGTAGTAATTTAAACAGTAATTTTAACAATATCAAAAGAAAAACAAATAGAGATATATACAAACAGTAATGCTATAATAAGAAATATTAGTAAAAGTTTAAAACAAATAGACAGAAACAAAATTATTAAAAAAAATGCAATAAAGATAATAAAGATTAAAGATTTTCTTAAAATAAAAAACATTCAAATAAAATTAGTTATAGTAAAAAATTATAATAAAAATAAATAGAATAATAAAGCTAATAATATAATAAAAAAAGAAACAACAAGCAAGAAGATAGTATAGGTCAAAAAAATTAGTTGTAAAAAACAAAGTACTGTCTAAAGTAAAAAAACAAATAAACTGATATACTAATAAGACTGCTTAATAAGTTAGTAATAAATATAAAATTAAGAGTAATTAAAATTTTGAAACCAAAAACAGAAATTATAATTTATAATTAAACTTATTTTTGAAAAAGGCTAAAAATAACTAAAAGAATACACTATACAACAAAAAAAAGCAATTTTAAAAAGAGTGTATTTATAAAGTATAAAATAGATAAACTTATAATTTTAAAAAAACTTAACAAAAAAAGACCAAATATATATATAATAACAGAATATCAAGTATGCCAAGATAAAGTTAAAAAAATATAAGCATACTTAGCAGCATGCAAGAAGCAAAAAAAAATTTAAAAAAAAATTTAAAAAATAACTATTACAATAGTATAAAAAGAACTAAAAAAAAATCTAGATTCCATTATATGTATTATATATAGTATTTTTTAGAAAAACAGAGATAGAGAAAGTAAAAAAAGAAAAGCACTAATTAAAAGCTAATTCTAAAAGAAACACAAAACAAATTAATGCAGTTTTTAAATATAAAATCAAAACAGTAATTAGTAAATATAATAATAATAATAACCTAGAATATATTTTATAAATAAGTATAAAGAATACAATATAAAAAAATTGATGAATAAAAAAAAATAGGATTAACAGATAGAATTAAAAGAGAAAAAAAAAAAACCAAGTAAAAGAAAAAAGTCAAATTAGCAAAAAAAAAACAAAAAAAAAACAAGTTAAAAAAAAATAAAAAAGTCAATATTAAAACTTGTTATAAAAGAGAGAAAACCCTTTTATTATAGATTTAAGTAGTTAGACAAGCAGCTACTTTTGCATGAAGTAATATAACAAGTTATATTTAGGTATTATTAAGATAACTAGATAATGTCAAACTTAAGTATTAGAAATATTTATGTAGTTATAAATATGAATTTAAAAATTTTAATAAAGTACTGGCATGACTGCTTATAATTAAAAAAAAATTTTTTTGATAACAAAATTTTCTAAAAAGAATTTTATATATAATTTACTATAAAATTAGTTATTAAACATTATTTTTGTTAGGTATTGTACAAAAATTAGTATGTTATTATCAGATGTAATATAAAAATCAAAATATTTAATTAGATAATTTTTTAGCAGATTACAGATAAAACAACTAGTATATAACCTGTAAGCAAACCAATTAAATAGATAACAAAAAATTGTATATATAACTAATTGCACTTTCATCTTATACAAATTATATATATATAAGAGAAGTTAATAAAAAAGAGACAAACCATTTTTAGTAAATTTTTTTTAAATTTTAAATTTAAATAACTCAACAACTATTTAATCAAATTTATTAAAAATTTTTTTATTTTAATCTTGAAATTATATTAAATTAAAATAAAAAAAATATTAAATTTAATAAAATAATTGTCAAAATATTTAATCTTAAAGTCAAAAAAACTTTTATATAAAAAAATTTGTTCCTTTTCTATTGACTCATCTTCATATAATTAAAAATATAATAAAAACAGTAACTGCTATTTAACAAAAGCAAAAAAAAAAATAATAATAATTATATCAAAAATACATATATTTTTTAACTATATAACGATTTAAAATTTTAATTCTTATATAAATATAAAAAATAACTTTATTAAATTATGCCAGTAGTGCTTAACATCATATTTGCTATATCTCAAAAATGTACTAGCTAACACATGTTAGAGGTAAGCAAAAATGTTCAGTGCCTCAAAAACCTCAATCTAACTAAAATTCAAACCTATATTCTTATTATAGTTCATGTTTTCTAACTTTAAATTTTACTAGCAAACTATATGTGATGTTGAACACCATTGATGTGATTTAGTGCTATTGTTTAAAAAATATTTATTATTAATAACCTAATATCTTAGAACCTTATTGATTATACAAAATTTAATATAGCTAAATTTAGAAGTTAAATTGAATCAATAGTTTTAAATAACAATGATATTGTCTAAAAAGGAAAATTAACATTAAATGTCGATTTTCTGTCGTGCAACCCATATGTTTTACTTTACCAATTTGATTGGTCCAATCTAATGATTATTTTTCACTATGCGCCTGTGCGCGGCGCACAGAAGCTACACATCTTTTTTTGAGCCAATGTGCAGTATTCTGTACAGTATTCGCATAATAAATATTTATTGAAAATTAAAAATGATATAGGGTCATTGCCTTGAAAATGACCTATATATAACTTAGCATTTTACTTACGGTAATAAAAAAGTTTTTGCTATTTAAAAAAAAATACATAATTTTTGGAATAATGGCTTCAGAACAATCCCTCCCGCAACAATTCATACAACACCAACCGCTTGATATTTCTCAGATGCAATATGTCCAGCAAAATCAACTACAACAACTTGACAACCAAAGTAAAGAACAGACCAAGAGCGACGAGTTAGTATAAAGTTCAGTAATAGCCTATCATCAAATATTTCCTAATCAATCTCTTATATTTTAAACTAAAAGTGACGACACTGTGAATAGATGTAGGGGAACGAGCGGATCTTTTTGGGCTCATTTTTTTTGTGGAACTAGAGTGAGTATAAACAAAATATTATTTATATAAGAACCTCCGGGTGAAAATTTTTTCAATATGTTGAAAAAAAAAATTTATATGATTTTTTATACATAAGATTTTTTTTTTTTTGAGATAAAAATCATATAAAATTTGTAGAAAAATAAAATTTAAAGCAGGGCAGAGTCACTTTTAAAATCTTATATTTTATGAGAATCAAAAACTTAATTTTGTATGCCTTACTATTAATGTTAATTAAGAGAGGACTGGGATATATTTTTTGGGGAAATTCGAAGCTGGATGCGGCACGGGAACGAGAAGAGGACACCGGATGTTGCCTTAGCGACTGCTTACGAATATCATCTCAAATTTGTAATGATGGTATAAAAGAACAACTTGAGTACGAACATACAGAGGAAGCGAGAAGAGCTCGCGCGCGCGGCTTCGGTGAGTATAATATATCTATTATTGCAAGTTCCAATATCAATCAGTATTATTATTAATATTTATTTTTTTAATAATAATCAACACAAACAAATCACAAACGTACAACTTACGCTTCTCTTGTCAAAAGCTTTTCAAAGATGGATGAATTCATTCTGTACCGGCGGTAGAATGTGAACCTTTTCAATTTATATTATTAGAATCATATTAAGCTAGGGGATGGTAAAAATCGAAATTTAAATGTGATTTAAATCATTGCGTAATAAGTAAACATGTGATTTTATTATGACTTATAAAAAAGATTTTAACGGACACGTACCGATCACGTGAAATTTATATTATGGGCAAAAATATATCGATTTATCTATCTGACCAATTAGAATGCAAGTTCATGATAATGTGATCAAGCCTTTTCTTTTCTTTTTTATTTATTGATCTTATGTTTTTAGAATAGCTTTAACAAACTGCTTCTAAGAATCCTGATTATAATACATAATCGTAAGAGCATGAAGCGATTCTTTACTAAGGAAATTCTTGCGCACGAGTATGTGCAGTAGTTTAATTTATAACACCTCTGAAGCAATATGAGCTAAGATACCAAAAACCTTGAAACGTGAAATACTGGTTTACATGACCAGATTAGTAAAATAATGCTGAATAACTTTTGTTCACTTCTGAATTTGAATTAAAAAAAAGGCCGTTAGCCTTTTATATTCTGATGATCATGATACCTTTAGCTATTAAATTTTGGTTAATATTATTTATAATTCTGGTCATTGGTAATGTGTAACGTTACACGGCAACAAAAATTGTAAAATTATTGATCTAAATAGATTAATATTTTCTGGGTTCCTGTTATGGATATGTACTGATCACATGATATTAATTTATTACTTAACTATTTTACAATTAGCAAACTCAAACAAGAGTGTATTTTTTATAATATTTTATCAAAACCTTCATTTAATTATTTATATCAATCAATTCAAGTTGTGTACAATAAAACACATTGACATACAATTAAAAATAACTTATTTTTAAATGAAAAAGTAATGATTTAAGAATGTTATAATTTGTTTTAGTCTAGTCTTAGTTCTAAAAACTGGTCTTAGCAGATCATAATCTATAATAATTTCTAGTTTTAATATATATATAATTTATTACAAAATAATTTTTTTTTTTGTTTCCTTTAAGCAATTACACTAGTACTTTATTAAGATTTTATAATTATATTTGCAATTATATAAATATCCTAAACAACTAAATCTAGCATCACCTAGTTACCTTAATGATACTTAAGTACAACTTGTTGCATTACTTCAAGCAGAAGTAAGCTGCTTATCTGATTACTTAAAGTCTATAATAAAAGAGTTTTCTTTCTTTTATGACAAGCTCTAAAATTGTCTTCTATACTTCTTTTTTAATTTGATTTTCTTATTTCTTTTTCTTTTACTTTTCTATTATAGTTTTCTTTTTTTATATAATGCTTTTTTTTTCCCTTCTTCTTCTTTTTATTCTGTCTATTATTTTTTTATTTTTTTTTTATTTATTAATTTTCTTATATTAAATTCTTTAAACTTATTTATAAAATATGTCTTAGATCATTTTTGTTATTACATTTATAAACTGCTACTTTGATTTTGTATTTAGGAACTGTTTTAATTTGTTTTGTGTTTCTTTTGAAATAAGACCTTTGATTAATATTTTTCTTATTTTTATTTTTTCTATTTCTGTTTTTCTAAAGAGCATTATATATAATATATATATATAGAAAGATCTAAACTTTTTCTTCTTCTTTCAACCCCTTTCAGGCTGTTATAATTGTTACTTTTTAGATTCTTTTCTAAAGATTTTTTGTCTCTTATATATTGCCAAATATAACTGAGTTTCTTTTGTTTTATCTTGGCATATTTCATATTTTGTTGTTGTATATACATCTGATCTTTTTTTATTAAATTCTTTTAAGATTGAAAGTTTATTCATTATATATTTTATAAATATATTTCTTCTAGCACTATCTTTTCTTGTTATACAGTATACTTCCTTAGTTATTTTTAGTCTTTTCCAAAAATATATTCAATCATAAATTGCAACTTCTGCTTTTGGTTCTAATTCTTTAATTGTTTTTATTTCTTTTCATTCTGTTTCTAATCTTGCATTTGTTAATAATTTACAAAGCAGTCTTGTTAGTATATTAGTTTATTTGTTTTCTCATTCTAGACAGTATTTTATCTTTTTGTAACTGATTTCTTCAGCTTATATTATCCTCTTTCTTGTTGCATCATTTTTTGCTAAACTATTAGTTTTATTATTTCATTTATTTTTACTATGATTTTTAATCTTAAAAAACTCTATCTAAATATTCTTTATTATAATAAGATTTCTAATTTTTATTATCTATATTGTATTTATTTTTTTAAGAAACTTATTTCTGTCTATTTGTTCTAAACCTCTACTAATGTTTCTTATTATAACATTGCTATCTGTATATACTTCTATTTGCTTTTTTTTTGGTACTGTTAAAATTGCTACCTATATTACTACTAACTCCATTATTGTTGATGTTTGCTATCTTTCTAGTCCTAGTACTAACTCTTCTTTTGATCATTTTTGTGTTTTATTTGTTTGTATTTATCTTATATCTATACTAATTTTAATTCTTATATCTTTTTTGGTCTTTATATTTGTTATTCCATCTATATATATTATGTACTTATTCTTGTTTCTCATTATATTTCTTCTTAAAACTTTTATTATTTCTTAACTAATGTTCTTTTTTAACTTTTGTCACCTAATCATCTTTATTTCTAGATCTTCTATTATTCTTATATCAATAAAAAATGTAAATAAAATATTATAAAAAATTTTGAATACCAAAAATTTTTCAAAATAATTGCAATTGATATGAAATTCATATAAAATAAAACATTTTGCAATATTATAAATTAATCAAAAAAATTTTATAATATTATGAAATTATTAAAAAATTTTTGCAATAATATAAATAAGTAGAAAATTTTTATAATAATATAAAATACTGTAATCAGAAAATTTTTGCAATAATATAAAATAATCAAAAAATTTTTGCAATATTATGAAATAATCAGAAAAATTTTACTATTACAAAATAATTAAAAAAATTTTCAAACTATTTATTAATTTATTTACTTTTTAATTATTATTTATTTAATATAATTTTTATTTAATTTTTATTAAATAATAAAAAAAACTATATTATATATTCTGGTTTTTATTAAATCTTTCTGGCAAAGCACAAAACCTACTAGCAATATAAAAAAAATAAAAAAATAAAAAAAATGAACTAGTACTTATTTTATATCAGTTCCAAGTTTAAGATTCTGATTCTGGTCCCCATTAACCCATCTTAGCGAAGCACAAAATCTAAAGAAAAAGAAAGCAAAAATTAGTAAAAAATAAAAAAAATGAAAAAAATAAACTGATACTTATCTTTGTACTAGTTTCAGGTTCAAAATTCTGATTTCAGCTTTTATTAACCCTTTTTGATAAAGCATAAGACTTAAAAAAAAAGAAAACAAAAATTAGTTTAGTAAAAGACAAAAAAAACAAAAAAAAACAAAAAAAAGTAAATTAGTATTTATCTTTATAACAGTTCTAGGTTTAAAATTCTGATCTCAGTTCTCATTAATCCTTTCCAATAAAGCATAAGACTTAAAGAAAAAGAAAATAAGAATTAGTATTAGTAAAGGACAAAAAAAAAACAAAAAAACAAAAAAACAAAAAAAAATAAACTGATACTTATCTTTGTATCAGTTTCAGATTTAAGATCCTAATTTCAGCCTCTATTAATTCTTCTCAGTAAAGCACAAGATCTAAAAAAAAGAAAACAAGAATTAGTATTAGTAAAAAACAAAATAACAAAAAAAACAAAAAAATAGTGAACAAATACTAAATCTCTTTCTGACAATCCCTCACACCAAATTTTTCAAAAAGACTGACCTATGAAAACTATATAGTTATTATATTAAATATAATAAAACTCTACTTTAGGTTAACTAGGGAGGCTATTCACTGCATGCTTAGTTGTAACTGAAAAGAGCTGAAAAAGATTCGACCCCTTGTAAGCAAAGTCCCTTGGTAAAACACAAGTACTATCAAGCAAAGAAGTAGTAGACAAGCTCTGGAGTTTTGTCAAGTGCTATAAAGGCCTAGGCCTAAATAGTTACTTGGCTTAATATAATATTCTATATAGTGTAACTCTTACAACTCCTTCTCAAGTTGGTTCTCCTTTCTGCCCTCACTATCGGATTTTTCTCTCGAAATTTTTACCAAAAAGTGGGAAATTTGGCGTATCCCCTCTAAAGGATCGACATTGTTTACCTTTTTAAATTGGGAACGTTAGTCATGAGAAAACCATGAGACAAGTACCAGACCTACGATAGATGACATATGTCAAACTTAAGAGGAAAATAAAAACTTTGACCATTCTCCCCACGTGACAAATGGAATATATTATAACACGGAGATAAAGTAAATGTGGAGTATTCTTTATTTAGTGTTATATAGAATTTTTAAAGCTTAGCATAGGCAAAAATAGTGCCTTTATGTTTTCTTTTTTGTTTTTTCTTTGTTTCTTTTTTTTATCTTTTCTTTTTCTTTGTTTTTGGTTTACGTTTAGGTTTTGTAGTTAGTTCTCCTCTTTTTTTATCTCCCTTTTAGTTTTTCTTCCTTATTTTTTGTTGTTCTTTAGGCAAGGATTATGGAATCCTCTTGCTT